TTGTATCCGATCTAGTATTGGTATTATTATCATATCTACTCAATAAATCAAACAACTATACCCCAAATGCCAGAGATTACACATAGGTTATGCAGGTATTATCTTCACGAAAGCAAAAATGTAACCAAATGCGTAAATAATAAATGTAGTGTTTCATAAAGAGCCTATTTTCTTTTATATAAAACCAAGTAAATCCTAAGGGGTTGTTTGGTAGGAGGTATTAGAAAAAATAATGCAAGCATTAGCTCTATGCATTACTAATACCTTGTTTGGTACATTTTTTCAACTTGTGTATAGCTAATACTTGTATTAGTTATACATCATACTTGGTATTATCCTATGTATAAGTAATGCATAGAAAACCATGGCATTAGTAATACCAAGGCTATTAATGCTTGCATTAGTATGGTTAAAGACAAAATTATCCTTAAAGTCCCTTAAAGCTAGAGAATATGGAGGATATTTTTGTAAACAACTATTTTTCTTAAATATTATGCAATGCATTATAATTTTAATACACCACACCAAACGGTAGATAAGAAATAATATCTGCATAACTAATGCATGCATTACTAACCCATCATTTACTAATCCATGCATTACTAATACACCTTATTCCGCATTATTATTGTACATCCTACCAAACGACCCCCAAGTGTATGATCTCCACATATAAAGAATTCTGTGGACTAAATCCATAAACCCTTTTTTGGTGTGGTGATGTGTAGGTTACCAGAGTATTGTTAAGGACTTTTATTGTCCAACTTTTGTAGAACTTCAAGCTGTCGCTCCCAGCACCCATTAATTTGCATATTTTGATTAGCCAAACTGATTGCTATCTTTGTGGATTGACTTCAGTGACGGAGCTATGTGAATATGCTGCTAATGTTGACATTCCCATGGCGAGAGAATCGATCAGGGCTGTTGGCAAAATAGCATTACAACAGTATGATGTTAATGCTATTGTAGATAGGCTGCTCCAGTTTTTGGAAATGGAGAAGGACCATGTGACTGCGGAAACTCTGGTATATTTTCATTGGTTTTCCTTTTTCCTTTTTGGATCTTTCCTTTTCTGGGGTTGTTTATTTTTTATGTTTTGGAGGAATAGTTCCTTAAATATGTAAAATTACCTGAAACCTCATGTCTTGCTCTTCTTGTTTGGTCTTACCATGACATTTGCTCATATAGGTACTTGTAAAAGATCTCCTTAGGAAATATCCTCAATGGAGTCATGATTGTATAGCAGTAGTAGGGAATATTAGTAGCAAAACTGTCCAGGAACCCAAAGCCAAGGCAGCTCTTATTTGGATGTTAGGGGAATACGCTCAAGACATGCAAGATGCTCCATATATATTGGAGAGTCTTGTTGAGAATTGGGAAGAGGAGCATTCTGCAGAGGTAATCAAGCTGCATTTTTCTTTTCTTTTTTAGCGTTTGTTTTTTCTTTTCCTATGCAAGTTTTTAGTCTCTTTTTTAAATTCCTTTTTTATTGACTGGTTTTTGTGTAGTCTTTTATGCTCTTCTTTAGATCTTTCTTATTTTTGAGCATCACCAAGAGTGTCATAATACCTGAATGTAATCAGTTGTCTCATTTTGTAAGGCTCTGAATCTTGAAAATGATTTGTGCCTTGGAGAAAACATTTCTTCGCTAACTTTTGTCAGTTACCTTGTGGGTTGTTAATGCAAGTCAATACATTACTTGCTTAGTACAAAGGTGATGATGTCAAAATTGCAAAAGGCGCCCCCCCCCCCCCCCCCCTGTTCAGTTGCCTCTGTCCTTATTGCTTCAATTTAAGATCTATTGATCCTATAGCTTGAGGTCATCTGCATCATTCATGTCATCCATGTTCATCAGTTTTCCTCTTTTGAGTGATGGAAAAAACAAAGCTTTCTTGTGGGATTGATAATGAATGAACTAAAATTGTGAATTTCTTGTGTGGGCTCCTCTAACAGTAGGAAGGTTCGGATGGATTGAAAGGCATTTGTAAATGTAGTTCTCATAGAGTTAAAAATATATACATAAAACAAAACAGATGCATAAGCTTATTAGACTTAGCTTTCTATGCATTATGCAGGTTCGTTTGCATCTTCTTACAGCAGTAGTGAAGTGCTTTTTCAGAAGACCACCAGAGACTCAGAAAGCCTTGGGAGCTGTATTAGCTGCTGGTGTTAATGATTTTCATCAGGTATCACTTCTTTTTTGTATTTTGAAAAATTACTGATATAAAAAGACAATATATTTAGTTTTGGAATGAAGTAGGCCCGAATAGAACAGAATGAACTTAATTGAGAATGAGCTATAGTTGATTGGCAAATATTAGTATGAAGTGTTTTATGTGCCTCTAATGATGTGCAAGTATTATTGCAGGATGTCCATGACAGGGCATTACTATACTATAGACTTCTACAGTACAATGTCTCCGTAGCAGAGCGTGTGGTGAATCCTCCAAAGCAAGCTGTTTCTGTCTTTGCTGATACACAAAGTAATGAAATTAAAGATCGTATCTTTGATGAGTTTAACAGCCTCTCTGTTGTTTATCAAAAGGTATGCAAGATGTTCTTTACTCCTATCAATTGTATAATAATTTGAGGATCTTAGTCAGAAGTGTAATTTCAATGCTACTGCACATTAGTGAAATGTTGAAACATGTTTCTCATGCTTAATTATTTTTGCAGCCTTCTTACATGTTCACCGATAAGGAACATAGAGGGCCGTTTGCCTTCTCTGAGGAAATTGGAAATTTGTCTATTGGGGCAGAATCGACTGATAATGTAGTACCAGCACAGAGAATCGAGGCAAATGACAAGGATTTACTTTTGAGTACTTCAGATAAAGAAGAAAGTAAAGGTTCGAGTCACAATGGTTCTGCATACAGTGCTCCTGGATATGATGGTTCTTTGGCTGCACCATCTCAAACTGATCTTGTTTCCTTGGATTACAAATCTACTCCAAGTGTGGCATCAGCTGCTTCGGCAATCGATGATTTACTTGGTCTTGGTTTGCCTGCTGCAGCTAGCCCTCCTCCTCCGCGTCCTGTTTTGAAGCTCAATACTAAAGCTGTTCTAGCTCCCAACACTTTCCAGCAGAAATGGCGTCAACTGCCAATATCAATATCACAGGTGCACATATATCGGAACATTACTATTACGACATCCCCCATTGTCAGTTAAATCTCCTTCACTTTCATAATACTTTGCCTTTTCTTCTTTATCAGGAAACCACTATTAGTCCACAAGGTGTGGCAGCAATGACAACTCCTCAAGCGCTTATCCGTCACATGCAAGGCCATTCAATCCACTGCATAGCTTCCGGTGGTCAAGCGCCGAACTTCAAGTTCTTCTTCTACGCACAAAAAGCAGAGGAACCATCTACCTATCTTGTAGAATGTATAGTTAATTCATCGTCGTGTAAAGTACAGTTAAAGATCAAAGCTGATGATCAGAGTACATCTCAGGCCTTCTCAGAATTGTTCCAGTCAGCCTTGTCCAAATTCGGTTTTTCATAGTCATTCAGATGTCCCTCTTGTTGTAATGCTCCTTAGATGTATTAGTGGATTCACATTTCGTTGTAATTTTATTTTGTACAAGTTCAATAAGAGTCAGAAAACAAACCATGAAACTTGGGTTTACTTATTCTGTACAACATATGCTAAGATGAGTGTTTCATGCCCTGTGATTCTGAGGCAAAAACTACTTTTTGAGGACTAACATTTTTCGGTGGCCAATTTTAAGTGATTTCTTTTTCCAGTTTTGGTTCGGTTACCCCACCGACTTTCCGATTTTGTGTGGTCAAAAAATGCATACAAAATACAACCAGTGGAAATTATTTCAGTTAGAAGATATCAAAAGGAGTTAATGCAGAGATCAGCTGGTAACAATTTTCCTAAATACTAACGGTAATTTACTACTACTACAATTTTTTCGTAACTTCACCTGTATGACTAGTGTTTGTAAAATTCTTAGATGGTTTTAGATCATGTCCCTATTTATTGTTTGTCCGTACTTTAAACCACAAAATACTCTTGTGAAAAGGTTCTTCTGTCCTATGCATAATCAACTGGCTGCTATTTTTTCAAGGCCAAATGTGTTCCGGTTAATTAGGTTTTCCTCCTTTTCTTACTAGGCGCAGGGTGGTGAAATGAGAATTCTGAGCAACATGCTGTTGGAAAATTTTGATTAGTGTTGTGAAAAGAATACTTAATTACTATGTTCATGACATAACTTAAGAAATAAACTATCTTTGGAAACAAGGAAGAAAAAGAAGGGAACGTTTCTAAGCTTGCTAATCCGATACTCAAAAGAAGAGTAATTTCTGGTAACTTATATCCCGTTTAATTTATGCGTCTTACTTTCCGTTTTAAGAATGTCTCTTTCTAGTTTTAGTAGTAACTCTTTTAACTCTTCACATAGCATATTTAAATCGGCAAAACTTCAAAAATAGCTAGATTTACAATTGAACGTTCAAAAATAGCCTAATTTCAAAAGTAATCGAAATTTAGCCACTTTTCATGTAAAAATAAATTTGAGCGAAAACACCGTTCAAAATCCAGAAAATACGTCAGTATATTAAACTGGAGTTCCAGCATAAGTATGTTTGAACTCCAGCATATTATACTGGAGTTCCAGGATAATTATGTTGGAACTCCAGCATAATATGATGGAGTTCCAGCATAAGTACACTAGAACTCCAGCATAATATACTGGAGTTCCAGCAAGTATAATTGTCCAGTATAATATACTGGAGTTTGGAGCGCCGGTTCTCCATTCTCTAGTATATTATACTGGAGTCAGCAAAGTATATCGGTCCAGCATAATATGTTGGAGTTCATACACAGGTGCACCGAACTCCAGTGTATTATGCTGGACCGATCTCTGTTGCAGAAAAATAGTGGTTATTTTTCATTGACTTCGTAACCGGTGACTATTTTTGAACGACCAGTCCGAAAACCAGCTATACCGTGCTATTTTTACATTTAAATCTGGTCTTTTTGTGAAGAAGTCACACAACTGTCAGGTTAGTTTGACTCAACTGGGCCCAATTCTTTGGGGCCCAATTTCAATTACGGTAATCTTCTCCGGCCAAGTCCACACCAATTTCCCCTCCTCCTGCGATATCCGACTTGTAACTTGTAAGCCCTCTTCTCGCTCTATCTCGTAAGATGTGATTTCTACAAATTATTATGTGTACAGACTTCTTGCTTGCTTCCTATATATGATAATTGTTTCTATTGGTAATGAGGTTGTTTGTACTAATCACTCATTTTAAGCACTATTAATCAGTTTTCTGAAGACTTGTATTATTGACTATGCATTCTGCTGTTTAATGAATACCTACACTCACACTTTGAGACTCGCTTTGAAGCATAAGATACTTTGCCTAAATACTTCCAAAGTTGTTGCTTTACTAATCTGCTTTTCTTTTGCGAGTATTAGTAATTTGATCATTTGAAGACTAAAACTTATATTACAGGTTATATTGAGCGTTTACCAGTTGGGTGCAATTTCAAAATGTAAAGTCATTTACCAAATCTTTCTAATTATTCAGCCAACACAATTCCTATTTCTAACAATCCCAAATGGTAGTATTTGACATAGATCCGTTTGGATGCAAATATCTGGATTTTTTTTAGAAAAAGAAGATGAAATGTCATCTAATTGTCAATTGAAAAAAAATTCCAAATACAGGCTGAAATAACCGGGATTGAGTTTGTATTACAGACCCAAATTTTGATTAGACATTGTGCTTCAAATCTAAATTTTCTTAGGCATTTTATGACAGGTTGAAAGGATTAGGGTTTCCTCCTTCCAAATGAGCCTTGAATTAATTTAAAAGTTCCATAGAATTAAATTAATTCATCTAAACCGATCTCTGAGCGACGTTAATATGATAGAGAATTGATAGTTAAATTCTCTAACAATTTAGAATGTGATTATTGGTTAGTAGAGAGACAAATCAACTAGCCCCGAACTACTAGTTAGTAGAAAGTGGAATCAATAAAAAAAATGCTTTGTCTCTGCTGCTCTGTGGCTGGGTAGAATCCCCTTCATTACGGAGTGGAGTATTAGGGAAATAAATGGTGGTTGGAAGGTTTTAAAGTAAGTATTAAGTAGAGATCAGAAATTCCCAACGGGGTTTGAGAGAAGGGGCAGCAAGCAAAACCACAGGAAAATCCAAATAATTGGAACTTTCACTTTCCAGATCCCCAGAATCAATGGCAGGACTCTGGAGGGCGAGGTGTCAATTTGACTCAGTTTTCCTTTTCTTCCTAGTTTTACCGTTTACATGATACGGTGGATCTGTTCAGAATTTGTTGTATATGAGCTTAATCAAATAGTTGATTAGTTGCAAATGCTCATACCGTTGCATAGATGAAGTAATGTTGTAGACTTGTAGTTAACGTAACTTCTAATCCGTTTCTTCAACCCCAGATTTGGTTTTGGTGAATTACATGATGAATACTGCAGCATCGTTGTTTAGGAGGTTAAATATCAGAGAGCTGGTAACAGGCACACCTGCTTACAATACCGCTAGGGGTACGTATCTTGTTGCACTCTTTGCTAAAGCATGTGCTTTGGAAATAGATGAAATGTTTAGAAACTCTGACATATGTTTCCTTTGGGCAAATTTAAGATGTTTCCGGAGATGGATTGAGCTTGATGTTTAGGAGGTGGGCTACTAAAAAGACAGCAGGGTCTACAAAGAATGGCCGTGATTCAAAACCGAAGAATCTAGGCGTGAAGAAATTTGGTGGAGAGGTAAAAAAATCTCTGCTTGTGGAAAAATGGGATGAAGCATTAATCAGTTTAGGAGAAACTTTTCTGTTCCAATGTTGCATATAGAGCATGCCTTCTTACCAACATCAGTATTCTTTTTGTAACACAGTTTTTTTACATGCAGAGAGTGATACCTGGAAATATTATTGTTCGTCAAAGGGGAACCCGATTTCATCCTGGAAACTATGTTGGAATTGGGAAGGATCACACGCTTTATGCTTTGAAAGAAGGCTGTGTTAAGTTTGAGCGCCACAAGCTGAGTGGGCGCAAATGGGTGCATGTTGAGCCCAAGGATGGTCATGCGCTTCACCCGGTTTACTCGAGCACTGTAGCTGCTGAGCTTAAGACAGCTACTTAAGTTTATCTGATTTTTCAGCTGTTGAGTGATTCATGGAACATAAATCTAACAAGTGATAAGCCACTATGAAGGCTGTCTAGTTTTTGTATCTTTTTTAGTTATCTAGTTTTGAAACAAATATTTTGTCAGTGAATCGATGTTCTGCCTCTATTTTTGATATAGTAATATGTTATGGTGGATGAAAAACTCTTTATGCATATGCTTGCTATTTTTTGTGTTTTCCTTTCTGTACTTGAAGCAGTTTAAACTGCAGGGATATTGATACCTTAGGCTGTTGATATTGCCGATTATGTGAACATTGAGCTGGTGGATATCTGCTGATTTAACTTCAAAATTCAATTTTGTCTCGTAAACACTTGTGATTAAACAGTTAATATAAAATCAAAATATAGCATTTTCTTTTTTAATTTTAACAATCTGTCTTCATAGATCTTGCAATAAGGGGGGATTTGCATCTATACCCGTTTTTTGGGTCACGTTTTAACTTGTGGCCGCTTTGCAAAAAAAAATTGCAAGTGTACCCACTTTTTTGCGGTACTTCAACATACGGGGCTGAAATAGCAAAGGCAATCACGCAAAACTTCAGCACTCTAGTAGCCAGGCCTGAAGTAGACCAAGTGTACTAAAATTTTTGTTTTTAATTGCTGAACTTAAGCATTCTAGTGCTTAAGTTTTGTTCTCCATTTGCTGAACTTAAGCATTCTAGTGCTGAAGTTTTGTTCTCTATTTGATGAACTTGTTTTGTTTGTAATTGCTGAACTTAATCATTCTAGTGCTGAAGTTTTGTTCTCTATTTGCTGGACTTAAGCATTCTAGTAGCTGAGTTTTGTGATGCTGAAGTTATTTAGTCATTCGTAAAAACTTCAGCACTAAAAACGCTGAAGTTTTTTTTGTCCTGGTAAGCTTTTTCAAAAACATCAGTAGAAGATGCTGAAGTTATTTAGTTCATTTGTAAAAATTTCAGCACTATATAAGCTGAAATTTTTGAAATAAAATTTGACTTGAAACTAAATGGCAGTAGAAGGGGAACATCAACTTTAGATTAACGGACATGCAAAGCAAGCTGAAGAATCAGCCAACTCCATACAATCCAAAGAGTTGAGCAAAAAGAAACGCAAGAAATTCTTATTTTTTGTTGCACTCTCTACTCTGTTTCAAATTGCAATCTCTCTTCTCTTTCATTGTACATAATGAAAGTCAGTACTTCCAAGTTTCAGGAAAGTTTTATTTTGTGTCTCATACAACTGACACTACTTGTATGAGACAACTTTTTTATCTCACATTATTGTGGACCCAGATTTCTGTGGACCCAGAAGTGTAAGATTAGGGTCCACAAATTTGTGAGACAAAAAAGAGCCTCATACAACTAATGTAAGTTGTATGAGACACAAAATAAAACTTCTCCAAGTTTAACGTCCGATCCGCTACCTTTGATGTGTTGTCCAAAAATGCAGAAAACTCTTCATTCAACATTACAATGAATGCTGAATTTGGTGTCAAGAACACCAATTTTGGACCTTACAAGTACAGGGACTGCACTGTTTATTTTTTCTATAATGGTGCGAGTATGGGAGAAGCCTTTGTTTCCTATGGCAAAGCTGGTTTTCTATAATGGTGCGAGTATTGGAGAAGGAGGAGGAGAAATGGGGCTGAAATTGTTTAAAAAGTGAGTACAAGTTAAAACTTTTAAAAAAAATGGGTATAGGTTAAATGGGGGCGACCAAATAGGGCGCCCCGTGTAATTTTTACAGCAATAAGAGCAGCAACAACAACAACAAACCCAGTGTATTTCCACAAGTGGGCTTGCAATAAGAGCAAACTTTGTTAAAATCATTTTAACATCAGTCTTTGTAGGAAGAACAGACTTTGATACATTGCATTCTCCTTGTGTTAACTTTGTAAAAATCATTTTAACATCAGTCTTTGTAGGAAGAACAGACTTTGATACATTGCATTCTCCTTGTGTTAACTTTGTAAAAATCATTTTAACATCAGTCTTTGTAGGAAGAACAGACTTTGATACATTGCATTCTCCTTGTGTTATTCTTTATAAGTTTCTACAAAGTGAAAGGTTATTTATAGCCTGTTTGGCCAAGATTCTTTTTGGCCAAAAATGATCTTTTGTTTTGTTTTATTTTTGCCAAAAGTATTTCCCCCCCCCCCCAAAGTTAATGTGTTTGGTCAAGATTTTAGACGAAAAAAGTGCTTTTGAGGTAGAAGCAGAAATAGTTTTTGAGAATCAGAAAAAAGTAAATTCTCCCCAAAAGTACTTTTTTGAAAAACACTTTTGAAAAAAATACACTTTAGAATCACTTTTTAGAAGTTCGGCCAAACACTAATTGTTGTTCAAGAGCACTTTTCAAATGAATTAGCCAAATACAAACTGCTTGTTACCAAAAGTACTTTTGAGAAAAACACTTTTCAAAATAAGTTAGATTTAGAAGCTTGCCAAACAAGCTATTAGTCTTTCTAAAGAAATCTTATTAACTAGGAGGATTTCTATCCAAAAAACAAGTCAAAGAAAAACGTCACTCTCTCCATCCCAATTTATGCAACGATATTTGATTGAGTACAAAATTTAAGAACTAAAGAAAACAACCAAATATATATAAGTATCAAAATTATCTTTTTAAATGAGTGGTGCTGTGGTGGTGTAGGTTTCAGATGTACTTTCATTTTAAATGAGTAATGTAAGAGTCCCAATATAAATTGGGATGCTAAACTTAAATGGAAGTTTAAAAAAACGAAGTATCATTCTTTTGAAACAGGGTAAAAAAGAAAGCATGTCACATAAAGTGGGACTCACATAAAGTGGGACGGAGGGAGTGATTGGGGTATTGCTACCTCCACTTCCTCTCATCAAAACCAAGAATAAAACAAAGACATAGTTCTCAGTAAAACTTCAAACAACATAAAATTGCCCCTTACAATTGAGTCATTCATGGAGGTAAAGAGTACTGAGGATCGACTGTGCATTTACAAATGGACTTTTGCATATATCCAAATATGATTTCTACAGCTGCACAGTATGCAGATACAATGGACAACAAGAAATTTGAGTTAAATGATCAGTAAAGCTTTACAAAACCTGTGGATACAGATGTACTCGGAAAGATGAGCAATTTGAAGTCACCCTTTATATGTACAAAACTCTAATCACATTACTTTCACAACCAGCTGCATTCAGGTGCACTAATCACAACAACTTTTCTCTCTTCAGTTCAAGAACACAGCTGTACATGAGTTTCCAACCTGACCAGATGCACAAAGCTGCACTTGAAATTGTCTCTGGCAAACAACAGGAGCCCGCATTCCAAGTTTACAGCTAATATGCAATGATCTTGTCGCAGCAGACAAAGTATCAGATGAAAATTCAGCTTCCCTTAGCACCATACGACTTCTTTTGGCTGCACTTACTGGTCCCTTTGGTTCATTAATTAGTTCATTGGGTATCTGCAACAATTTGGGATAAAAATGATGGACAGCATTCTTCTGGTAGACTTTTTCCAAGTTCTCCACTTCTGCCACGCCTTCCATATCAACTTTACTAGTCAAGTTTTGCTTTTCAACTGAGTTGGCCACTCCATTTGCTGCCTCAGCTAATCCGACACCACGACAGGCTTCTTCAACAAGCATATAAGTGCTTTCCTCTGGTTGAATGTTGAATTTTTCCATGATTTGGATTACCTCTTGCGCTTCCCGAGGCTTTTTATTTTCAGCATAACCCCATATCAGAGTTTCAAAAGCTTTCAGATTAGGAGATATCCCACACTCGCACATCCACTCGAAGATCCTCATTGCACAATCCATTCTACAAGCAGTGCACCATCCACTAATTACAGTAGTGAAAATCACAACATTTGGAGGGTTCCCAGATTTAACCATGGTATTCAGGACTTCTTCTGCTTTTTCTGGTTCCATTGCACGAACGTAACCCTTGGCCAAAATGCTATACGCGTGGACATCAGGTTGAATGCCAGCTTCGACCATGTCATCGAAGACCTCCCTGCACTTAGCCATATATCCTGCAGTACCCCAGGCATTCATGATGGTGCTGAATGTAATGACATCAGGTTTGACACCGAACTCTTCCATTAATGTAAGAACCTGATCAAATTGATGGAGATTAAAACCTTTTAGTGGACATCATATTTAATAAAATATTTGAATTTGGCAAGCATGTGAAGAGAAACAGAAAAAGATGCAGAAGTTCTACATTCCTAAAAAAGCATATAACTGTAACATTCAGCCATTCAATGCAAGCATTCTATGAATGAATTGGCTAATGAATGACGCAGGCAAATTCAAAATCATGCTTACATGCACAAATACGACCTCAAACGTGGCTCTAACTAGTGTCCTATCTCCTAGACTGTACTGATCTATGCTAACATTTCAAGTGGAAATGTACTTGTGAAGTGGTTCTTAACACACACACATATATATACAGAAGATTTCAAACAGCACTTTTAAGTAAATCAATACAGATTTGGGGAATGAAAATTGTCAGCCTTGTACAACAAGAATAATACTTGTGTTGCATCATTTGCATCATTTTATAACAATTTTCAGTTAGTTAAAGATGTTGCTTGATGTTTCAAGTTTCTTGTATGCAACTTATGAACGGTGCTTTCAACTTTCAGCTCCAAACTACTAGAGACTGCATAGGGAGAGGGCTTCAGTTGTTCAAACTCTGCTTGAATATTTGACTTTCTATTCTCTCAGCTTTTAATTTTTCTTCATGGCTTACAATGTTTTAGTCATTCAAACTCTATTGACTCTTTGACTTCCCTTTCAGTTTTTTTTTGACATACAATAGAAGGTTAATAGTTATTAATCAAAAGATATACCAATACTAACCTCATCAACACTGTCTCCGTCTGACATGTCAAGGAAGCCTTTGATCAGTGAATTGAAAATGACAAGGTTAGGATGTATTCCAAGATCCTTCATCTTGTACACAAACATCAAGGCATCCTTTATTTTACCTTCTTTACAGTATCCAGATATAATGATGCCACAAGTCCTTTCGTTAGGGTGCACATTGTTCCTTTGCATTTCTAAAATCACTCTTTCCGCCTTTTCAGTTTGATGATTTTGACTATAAGCTGCTGCTATCGTATTGTAAGTGATAACATCCGGTCGTAAACCACAAGCTATCATCTTATCCACAGTATTCCATGCATCAGCAAAATTCTTTTTGTTACACCATGCTTTAACAAGTACATTGTATGTCCTCAGATTTGGTTCCACATTAACTTCCTGCAACATTAACTCCATTATCTTTATAGATTCTTCAGGCTTTCCAGCAATTCCATACCCTTTGATCAAAGTATTAAAAGTGCTGATTGCAGGCTTTATCCCACTCTCCTTCATTTGTAAGAAGGCTTTCATTGCTTCCTCCATGTTTCCAGATTCAGAAAACGCATTAACAACAGCATTGAAGAAAACTGGATCTGGATTCATACCATTTTCTTGCACTTCAGATATAATGGAATGGATGTGATTGAAACGCTTCTGGGCTGTCAAAGCTGCTAAGAGGGTAGTGTATGTAATTAGAGATGGTTTATGCCCTCCTTTAATCAAACTATCAAAGATCAGCTCGGCTTCCTTGGGCCTCCCTCTTTCTAAAACAGTGTTCATCAGTTTTGTTCTTGAGCGAACAGTTCTACAGCTATTACCATTCACACAAAAGGTGCAGTGGCCAGATTCAGGTGTTGGTCGCAGTGGCATCTTATCGTCTGGATCTTTTTCCTGCAGTCATAAAGGTTTTTATATTTTAGCAACAACCCCTGATCTTGAACCACAACAGCAGAGCAATTATCTTCTTTTTTTTACGGAAAAAAAAAATACCCTTCATCCACCTATTGGGCTAAAAATACTCCCCCATCCATCTTTTTGGTTCACTTATGCCCTTTGACCGTTAGGTCAATGCTAAATTAAAAATAATTACTTAAAAAAATATTTATTTTTGTTTTTTTTAAACTAATGCACAAGTAGTCCACTAATTTAGTAAAGTCTTCTTCTTCTTTTTTCAGTTTTTACAAAAAACAATTCAGTTTTTGTTGAAAATATTTTTTTTAGTTTTTAAAAAACGAAAATGTTTTATTAAAAATAATTTTTTTTCAGTTTTTACAAAAAATGCTTTAAAAAGAACTGAAAAAAAATATTTTTTTGTAGAAACTGAAAAATGAAGAAGAAAACTTTACTAAATTAGTGGACTACTAGTGCATTAGTTTAAAAAAACGAAAATATTTTGCAAAATATTTTTGTTTAAATAATTATTTTTAATTCAACATTGACCGAACCGTCAAAGGGCATAAGTGAACCAAAAAGGTGGATGAAGGGGTATTTTTAGCCCAATAGGTGGATGAAGGGTATTTTTAAACCTTTTCCAATAGTTTAGGGGCATTTTGAATCCTTTTCCGTTAAATCAAAGATAACTGTAAAAGTTACCTGTAAAGAATGAAATCTAATAAATTAGCTTCAGATTTTGATGTTTCAACTTCATGTGGTACTCTATATAAGAGGACTATTAGAGAAAAATGAAAAAGGAACCCCGCATTTAGAATCAATAAAAGAAACATCAACCCTGTGTTAGGACTTGCTATCAGGTTAAGCCCAGTCCTACATTCTATTACTCCCTAATTCAATACCCATGACAAAAATTTTGTTGTTCAAAGCAATATTATTTAGCGGTTTCATTTATTTCTATAGTGCTTCTCCAAAAAAAAGAAAAAGACATCCTTCAACCTTATTAACACCGCAGGCAATCATACAAACATATAATCATATTTACACTAAAGACAATTTCTTTTGGAGTCAGTTTTATATATAATGAAAACCATCATTCTTTTCAGGACAAGGGAAAGAATGTACAGAAACAAATTACCAAAGGAAGACTTGAAGGAAAAGAACAAAACCAAAAAAAATGGAAAAACTATTCTACATTCTAAAAGGCTTGCTAGTGGCATAGAAGGCACAATTATATGTTCTCGTCTCGACGTGGACCTCAAATTTGTTTGGATAGAACCAATGATGCCTTCTTCTTAGCAAATCCAAGGACTTTTAACAGGAGATAGGCTAGAATTACCAACATATGCCGGTGGAAGTGTCCGTCTTCTCTCAACTCAAAACATTCTGCAATAATCCCCTTCATATGTTTACCCAAAATGGGCAGACCGTGTACTAAGTGACTCGGATGCACGATGTGGGGGAGAAAAGGAGAGAAAACTATTATGTTGAAATTGGTGGTTAATAAGATATAAGAGGGCTCCTTTTATAGGAGTTGAGTAACATGATAAAGGGAAAGTAACCTAATTCTTGGGATTTCTGATTATTATGACATAATCATTAGGAATTATTTTCACAAAGTTCTTAATGACTCTTGATTTTCAATAATGAGATAATCATTAAGAATATTCTACAAAATACTCTAATAGATTTTCTTGATTTTTAAGATGCACCCTTAACGTAAAGCAACTTGTATTTGCAACTCAAACTGGAAAGTGTTGCTGAAAATAAAATTGATTTGGCACTAATATGAGACTAACTTGGCCACAGCGCTATTGTGAATCAGTAGAACATAACAGAAGTCAAAGGCATTTATGCTGCCAGCTTGATCAAATTGCTGACAAAAACAAGTATGTCGCAAGCTGGTTCCACACTAGGTGATGATTTTTAATGATGTGGCTCTGACTGCAAAGAAATGGCTCTCACCAGGTAAAAGTGGGTCGATGCCTTGATCTCAACTGAGACAGACTACTGGTGAGCTGAATATTGCCTGTTGATTTGACAAGTCAACTGACATAGACTGCTAACTTCACATGTTAGGTGGCGTAGATTGAGGACTTAAAATTGTAGAGTGTTAACTAGTCAATTAATGTGGACTGATAATATCAACCTAGAGATTAGATAGTGTGCGGCATGCGTAGGACAAACACAGACAAAGATGCACTATCACAATCGTAAACTATAAAAAGAAAGAAAAACTTTCGCAAACGAACAGGTAGTCCTCTGGTAGACTGAAGTTTTCAGATCTTTTTAAATGTAAATAATTTTATTAAGAATGGAAAACTCTCCCGTATACAAGCAGTATGCCAAAAAGTACAGAATCTACAGCATAATATGATTCTCCAACGTTTCATTTTACCTTGTATGTCGGCATTTGATTGGGCACAAAGTTTAAGATGTTAATTTGTATGTCATAATAGTGATAATGAAGGTAAATGAACTATTAGATAGATAGGGAAAACATCATATCAACAATTAAGGTCAAATTAATGGATTTGAATTCTTGAAAGTTGTGAGAGTCGTCTAAAAATAGTATGATATCAAACATTTTGAAATGTTTCAAAATTTGAAGGGTCACATAAATTGGAAGAATTGAGTAACATGTTATCACATTAAATGTACCTTGATTGGTGATGCATGCAGCCACTCTTTTCTGATAAGGGTCCTCATACCCGACTTCTTGCGATATGTTTCACAGTTTTGCCTTTCTTTTCCAAAATCATCCATGTAATTTCCTGAAAATGTGAAAATGTTTGCCAAGTGAATACTGGTGTCCTCAATTGGCTTTAGAAAATATGTAAACAGGCTTACTTTGGAAGCTCCACAAACAAATTAACTAGAAACATTATCAGATGTCCCTGAAGGGACAACAGTAACAAAAATGTGAAGTTAATAGACTGCAGGAAATATCACGAGAAAGTGTATTTAAGGGGGATCAGTGCAGGAATTTAAACACGATATGATTATCGACGTTTTCCCACTGGGTAATTCACTGAAACTGACCTAAAGCAAGGCCTACTAATGACAAAAGATTCACACTCAGGAAGTATACAAACAATTAAGAATTGAAGTAGATCAATGTGAAGCAAGTAACCAACATAAACTGCTATTTAGTAAGTTAAGTCCATTATACCTACAGGCCAATGAAATGTAGACAACAATTGCAGTGCACTGTCCAGAACATATTTCCGAACAGTTATTCAGGTCGCACAGTCCAGCTAAGTGCGGAATTTGTCCCACTGTTGAAAATGAATGTTGCTTTTAGAATCTTTAATAATAGTGAGGTTTCTTTTCAAGGTTGATTTCCAGTTTCGGATAAAGCTTGAAAATGTTAAAACAACACCAGTTCTAGAGACTTATCATTTGCACTTGGTCAAGTTCTACAAAATATGAAGCATCTAAACTAGAGAATCCACTGAATGAAAGGCAAGCATTTCAATGGAGATACAGAATTGATCTAATATCTAATATCTGTAATACTCTTCCTGTGATTTCCTAAATTTGGGGATTCAAAACTTAATCCTCCTCCAATCTGTAGAAGAAATACTAGAATAAACATATTCTTGCAAATTATACCCATTTACACCTGAATTTGGGAATTCATGCATATTCTTCTTTCAAGCCAAAACAAGAACAAACAGATTCTTACGAAGAATCATGTCCACTGACCAAAATAATTCAGATGAGTAGGACTATGATCTTAACAATTTTCTTTCTAGTAACTTTTCGTGTTAAGCGTGATTCACAAACTCAATATATCAAGGCAGAGGGAGCATGACTTTTTTGTTGGATATTTACCATTATTACTTGAACGAGCTGCTCTTTTGTAGACCAATTCTACATGAGATAAAACATCACCTTTCCAAGTGTTGGCTAGTTCTATAAACTGAAGCTGACACTACCTTTATCGCTGATGCAATTAATAGAAAGTAAGTCTGCCCAAAGCAGCTATAGAGTTAATTATATAAAATGTCAACTCAAAATAGTGAAAATTCTGGAAGCAGGTTTCAGGAAGTAAGTACTGATTTACTAGACATAGTAGAATTCTACACAATTAATCAACAACAATAGGATAATCATAGTTCATGGAAATTACCCAAAATCAATTAATTTGAAGATCAATCAGTCAAGACTAGTGTAACACAAGAAAAGGGCTCTAAAAAGAGAAAATGACCACATCTCCCCCCCAAACCCCCCACAGTTAAAGAAGACACGGCAAAGAGTTTACACAAGAAATTTTTGAAATCCAAATTAACCCATTTCTGCAATCAACCAAACAAGCATTACGCACTCTACAAAAAACCCATTTCTCAAAACAAAAAAAGAAAAGGTCAGACCAAGAAAACATTAAACACAACACAAAGAACTGGGAAAACAAGATAAAAGGTAACAAAATCATCCCAGTAGAAACACTAACTATCAACCCAATAAAAAATATTCAAGAATCACTAAGAAAAAAACCAATTTAAGCTTAAGTGACTTTTTGAAGAAAATAAAGGAAAAGGGAGTACCTTTATCCGAGAGAGTGTGACGGTTTACTTGCATGTACTACTGCAACTTGTTGGTTTCTTATACTATCCGAGAAGAAATGAGTTGAGACAATTTGTTATATTGAAAATCTTATCCACACATATATAATTTTGGATTGCACAGGAAAATATAGTCCCTCCAAGTTCCAAAAGATAAGGAATGGAGAGAAGAGAAGAAAGGTTGTAAAATATGAAAGAGACAATTTGGATGAAATCCTTATTCTTCTTTTTCTCTTCATTGGATGATCTTTTCTTTTCTTTTCCACGCGAAAAAAGACAAAAGGAAAAAAAACTTGCTTGTGTGTGTGGCATTTTTTGAATTATAAATATCTTTTCTCAATTAGTAGGTTATTTATTTGTTCATTTAGGCCTCGTTTGTTTGCACTTAAGGGAGGTCTGAATCTTAATCATTCAGATCTCAGAAATTAAGTGTGTTTGTTTTTAAAGTCTGAATCTTAATTATTCACATCTTAATCATTAAGTGTGTTTATTTTTTTTACTTCACAACCACTTAATGAGTCTGAATAGGTCTGTATGATTAAGATCTATAACAGAGACTTAATTTCATTAAGATGCTATCACATATTCATTAATAACTGCCACCAGTGCCTACCATTATCAACTACCACCATGCCGCCACCACCACCATACTCCACCAACCCCACCAACCCCACCTCCACCACGCCACCATCATCCTCGATAATAGCCGCCACCATTATCGACCATCACCACCAACTATCCCCACCACTTCGACCAGTTCTCATCCACAATCAACACTCATCCACATCATCTACCATAACTTACCACCCCACTACCATCAACAACTACAGCCGGCACTGCCCATCATTATAACCTACCACCACCCACCCACCACCTTCCTCAGCCACAATTACTACCACCACCCGCCATTATTAACTATCACCACCAACATCCTCAATCATAATCACCACCACTACCAATCACTACTAGCTACTAGCATGAACCACCATCATCAACCAAAACTACCACCAACCACCGCCTCTAGTCGGCATTCATCTGTTAGCCATTGCCACCAACAACTATCATATTTTGAAAAACTATATATTTTATTCATAGAATATTAGGTTAGTTAGTATTTCATTTGAATTTTATGTTTATTAATTTTCGAACAAAGATAAATTTTATACATTCAGATATTAAAAATCAAACAGTCTTAATTATTTAGTATTCAGATCTTAATACACATCCTAATATATTCAGATGTGTATTCAGATTCAGATATCTTAATCTTAATACACATCTTGATATTCAGATGTGTATTCAGATTCAGACCGTCTTAATATTAAAAAAAGCAAATGAGGCCTTAATCACTTTGCTAAAAGCGATATTTATTATTACAAAGAAAATAACTATCTTCAGGAATGTAGCCAATTATTATTAAAAATCAAATAATGAGGCCTTGGTAATATTATTATTATTATTACTATAATAATAATATTATAACATTGTGTATAATTGAAAGTGAAAGAATTATGAATGTAGCCAATTATCGGCGGAAATTTAAAGATATCGTACTTACTAGACCTTTGGAAGCTGTAGTCTAACCAGATGGTTCAACGCCATCCTAGACGTTGAAAAACAAGGATTATTTTGATATTAGGATGCACGATGTTTTAATCCTTGATGCTAATTTCGTTTTGGGGATTTTCCACCGTGATAAAGCAACAATACTCTGACGATTCGATAGGCCGTTTTGAATACTAGCCCTTATTTACGTATTCCGAGACCTCTATTAGTTTTATTTGATGTTTCTTAATTTGCACGCGCAATCCATGTTGTTTTCCGGAAAATTTTTACGTGAAAATTTGAAGAAAATGTGATTTTTAGCTTTAAAAATAACTTGAGTTGACTATAATAATATTTGGATAAACAATTCCGGATTGGTATTATGATGATTCCGGTAGGTTTGTATTGTGATTTTAAACTTGAGCATATACCCGGAATTGAATTCGGAGGTCCCTAAGCTGATTTGGCTTGTTTTGCCAAAGGTTAGAAATTTGAATGTTTGAAAATTCCCTAGGTTTGACCGTAGGTTGCCTTTATGGTTATCTTGTTCGGATTCTAGTTTTGGGACTTGGAATAGGTCTGATTTGCTATTTGAAAATTGTTTGTAAATTTTGGTGTAATTCGGAGTTGGTTTGATAGGATTCGGACGCTTGGTTGTGATTCTAGATGTTCTTGAGTTTTCTTTTGAATTTCATGCGTTTTGATGTCCGATTCATAGTTCTAGATGTTATTTTGGTGTTTTGATCGCGCGAGCGAGTTTATATGATGTTATTACACTTGTGTGCATGTTTGGTTTGGAGCCCGAGGGGCTCGGGTGAGTTTCGAATAGGCTTCGAACCACATTTGAACTTGTGGAACTGCCTTTCTAGTGTCTGGTTAGTCTCCGCGAACGCGAAGGGGAAGTTTGGGGCTGGGGCTAGGGCTGGTTGCTCTCTGCGACGCGAGAGGCAAGTCGCGAATGGCCCGGGGGGGACTGCCCTTCGTGAGCGCCACTGACCACTCGCAAACGCGTAGCATTGGGATGGCTGGGGAGGCAGGTGATGGTCTTCATCCAAACGCGACCCCTGGGACGCGAACACGAAGGCTTGGCTGGGGAATAGCCTTCGCGAACGCGAAGAACACCTGACATCCAGTTAAATGAAAACCTTAAATCGGGATTTTGTCATTCTACACCATTTTTGAAAGCTAGAGCTCGGCCTAGAGGCGATTTTTAAGAGATTTTTCATCCCCACTTCATTGGTTAGTGATTTTTAACTAGTTTTGATGTATTTCCATAATCACCCATTGATTTCTAACCTTTAATCTATGAATTTCATGGTAGAAATTAGGGATTATCCAAAATTCTTTAAACCTCAAATTAAGGTCGGATTTCAAAACAAATCACATAACCAGGCTCAGGGATGAATGAGTAATCGGATTTTGGTCCGAATCTCGAACTTTGACCAAGCGGGCTCGGGGTTGGTTTTTGTTCTTTTTTCAAATTCATTAAAGATTGAATCTTTTTCACTCGTGAGTAGTTTCTAAAGCTTAATTTGAATTATATGAACCATATTTGGATAGATTTGACTGGTTTGGAGGCTATTTCTAAAGAAAAGACCGTAGTTGGGTATTGATTTGACTGCAGAAAGAGGTAAGTGTTGTATCTAACTTTGACTTGAAGAAATTAGGACTTGTTGTTCTGCTTGTTATGTGAATTATGTGGGTGTTTACCTTGAAAATAGTATTCACAATATATTTGATTTGTGGTTCTAAAAATACGTGAATGATCTTAATACTAGTTGTTAGATGAATAATGCTAAGTGTAAATGAGCAAGATATGATAAACAAACCGAAGTGGTTATAAGGCTGAGGGTCTCGAGCTCTGCGACGTGGAACCTCGAGGGCAGCCTTTAACGGGTTGATGATGAGCAATAAATGAAGAACAACATATGAACAATGAATGAACAATGAAAGAATAATGAAAGAATAAACAATAAATGTGTAGAACAATTGTTTAAGCAAAGAGCAGAGAATGTTGTATTGTATTCAATATGTTGTGTCCGTTACAAAATGACAAAGGTCCCCTTTATATCAAAGGGGGAATCCCAACATAGTACATGTCTAATAATAACGAGGAAATGCTATTGGTATAGCTGTATAATGACTTAGTACGGATTTGTACTATTCTTGTAGACCTGGCCCTCCCTAACCACGTGTATTTGGAAACGTTCCTGCCTTTCCATGATGATCATCAATTGTAGTGTTCCGAGGTCGACCATAGTAAGCCTTCGATGTGCTCCCTCGAGGGACACACCTTGGGGTCATACCTCACGCTCTGCTTCGGACTTCTTCGAGGTTAGGCATGGAGCGACACATTAGCCTCAAAGTCGAACTTCCCAATTTTGGCATTATACAGTGGGGAAACGACGTATATGCAAGGTGACGAGTATATATGTGCTGTCGTGGGGTTAATGCATGCCGGATTGGGCTATTTAATTCCATGTCTTCTTTTATTCTATGTTATCTCTTGTTACATGCTTTAGTTGCTACATGTTCTTAATTATTATCCATGTCTTACCTCTTATTGTTGTTTAATTGTTACTTGTTTCGATTTGTATATTTCTCATCCAATATCTGCTTCTGCTACATGCTTCTAATTATATAAGTTGTATATTTTCGTTGTGTCATGTTCTACTTGCTTTTACCTTTCTTATATTACTTGAACTACTTTATTATGTTATTCCGTTTATGTGAGTCATCTAGCTATTTTGGTATTATTGTTTTGCCAAGGTTTGGGTTTTTTGAAGGATTGGTTATTCTCCATTCATTTTGGTAGTTTCTTATTGTTCCCCATGTTTTATTTTTTTTGTATTGATATTACGAAAATATTGGTGTTGAGTTGTTTATATTGAAAAATTGATATTGGGGGATTGCGCGCCGGTATTAAAATAAATTGATATTGGGGGACGGAAGTAGAAATGATATGATATGAAGAGATAAGGACGGAATATGATATGAACAAATGATGATATAGTATGATAATGAAAATCATATCATGGTATTGTGTTAATTGTTGCAATCGGGTTGCACGTCGCAAAGGATTTGATGTGTTGTATTATTTGTGGTTGTAGAGTTTATTCTCGATATTATGATATGAGATTTCAGATTATTTTATTCTGGGGCCCTTTGGTAGTTGATCTAGGGGTCCGGTTATATGAGTTTGTTGCGTTAGTTCTATTTGTGTATTATATCATTCTTATTCGTACAGGTTTATTGTGAGTGTTTTGTCATAGCCTCGTCACTACTTTGTTGAGGTTAGGCTCGGCACTTACAGAATACATGGGGTCAGTTGTACTCATGTGACACTCTATACTTCTTGTGTAGATACCAGTCTTGGTCCCAACGGCGTGTAGAGGAGATCTTGCCCGG